AACAACAAAATAAAACTCCGACCCTGTGGGTACCACACTTTTAAAGAGGCAATTGATTACAGATGTTTCCTTGCTCCCTACAGCATCAAACAATGTTTGGTGTCACTGCGTGGTGCTGCAGACCCACGTGTAGATGGCTCCAGCCTGCGTGCAGCTCTGGGGGTCTTGTACCTCCGTGTCCACGCCACCTTCTTCCTCTCTTCCTCCTGCCTGGGCTTACCTTGCCCAACTAGTTTCCAGTATACTAGGGTATACTTGGACCTTCTCAATGTCCCATGCTCACTGACTTGGGGTGCACTGGAGACACTGATCTCTTTTTTTAAAAAAGCGAATCAGTGAATAGGTGCATGTGAGGATTTTCCATTTGCCTTGCAGGTGCATCTCCTGCCTTCATTCCTTCAACGCTCTGGGCCATGCCCTGTCACGTTAGGGGAACAGGGTTGTAAAGGGCAAACGAGGGAGACCCTTCTTCCAGGAAGCCTATTATACAGGAGCGTTCCAGTGCTCATTGGTGCTGGACTGAGAGCCGCAGCAGGCCGGCAGGGGACAGCATGACCCAGGAAGGGCGCCTAAGCCACCTGCCTTCATGGCCAACCTTGACCGTGAGGTTGGAGCATCCCTCAAAACATCTCCACTCACACATTCTCTCTCTTACTCCTCACTCCCAGATCCTTAAAACCATCAGCACAGAGCCAAGACATTTAAAATAAAACAATAACAAAAACACAAACTCTTCCAACCTTCAAACTCCACTTTAGAACCTAAAAAGCAACATCTTCCAAAGCAGAACAAACTACTTCAGGGGAAGAAAACTGCAGGCTCTGAAAGGTGGGGATACAGTGTGCGTTCTTTGTCACGCGAACACCAAATGCCAAGAGGCATCTCAGACGAGGAAGCCGGCCCGCACCAGCTGCTTCTAACAGGCTGCCCTTTCCCAGAGGCACACCACCATCAGCCTAGGAATGCAGAGAGAAGAGGGGCTCCCAGCAGCTACGTTCCAAAGAGCAGGACCAGGAGGACAGCCCCACCACAGGACTCACAGCATTGAAATCCCATTTGTGGAGGCCGTCAAATGTCCGTGTCTGCCCTGGTCTTTCTCAATTGCCATACCTCCATACGGCTGAGAAAGAGAAAAAAGGGAAAGTCCACCAAACTTAAAAATTGGGAATAACTGTACTGCTCCCTGCAAATATATAAAGCTGATCCAGCCACGGTGGCAAGTACTTCAGACAAACAGAGCCGCTTCCTTCTTAGCACTCTGTTTTATCTTTTTATTTGTTTTTGAGACAGGGTCTCACTCTGTCACCCAGGCTGGAGTGCAGGGGCACAATCTTGGCTCACTGCAACCTCTGCCTTCTCGGTTCAAGCGATTCTCCTGCCTCAGCCTCCAGAGGAGCTGGGACCACATCTGTTTTGTCTTTAAACTGAGGAGACATGTCCCTCCGCCCCTCTCCACATAGACCCTGGCGTCCTGCGTCTTCTCTGCTCTCTCAGGGCCACCTTCTGAGCAACAGATCCCCTCGGCAGCTCCATGGAGCAGAGTGGGGGTGGCGGCGGGGGATGGCTTTGTCAACTTGTTCTCATTCTTGAGCTGAGGATCTCTCCGCTTGAGAGTGAGGAGATCTAGGCATTTTTCGTTTCCCTGGCATGTTTAATTTACAATTACCGTGCTCAGGCAGCGTGAATGTTTACCATATGTTGGTTGTGTGGCAAAATATTCTGGCTCCCAGAAAAAGTCTGGTTGCTGAGTCACGCTGAGTCTCACCTAGAGAAGTCCTGAGGGAGGTCATTAGAGGCGGCTGGGTCAGGCACGGTGCCGCCCCGCCTCCTGAAGGAGGAAAAGACAGAACTGGGAGTCAGACCCAGATGGGTGCCCCAACTGACTGCAGCACAGAGGCTCTTACAGAACACCACGATCGTGTTGGGATTGTATGCACTAGAACTTTGCCTACAGAGGAGAAAAAGCCGAGTTGGAGCCAGGGCAATGAACAGGACCAAAGAAACTCAAGGATCGAAATGGTAACAAAAACGCAAAGCAGCACTCAGTCACCATCAAAACACAAAGATCGCTTCAATTTAGTATTTTTTAAATGTATCCTTCATTCTCATAGTATATTATTTACATTCAAAAGTGAGAGAACTTACTCATTTTGATGATAAATTATGTTTTTCAATGAAACATGAGACAGGTTAATTCCTGCAGTTCCTGCAATGTCCCCACCAGTTAGGACCTCCATTCTATCATAAAATGGCCACTTTCCATCACCATATGGCCATGACTAGCGATAAGCACAAAATGTCAGGAAAAGCTAAACCGCTGCTGCTGAGTGCCTGATGAGTGCCTGAAGACAGGGGCTCCCAGGTGGTGTGCGCTTAAGAATCAGCTGAGGAATCTTGTCTAAAATGCAGGTTCCAAAGCCACACTTCCACCTGTATGAGGCTGTTCTCACACTGCTATAAACAACTGCCCGAGACTGGGTCATTTCGAAAGGAAAGAGGTTTCATTGACTCACAGTTCAGCATGGCTGGGAGGCCTCAGGAAACTTACAATCACGGCAGAAGGTGAAGGGGAAGCCAGGCATCTTCTTCACGGGGCGGCAGGAGGGAGAATGAACGCAGGAGAAACTACCAAACACTTGTAAAACCATCAGATCTCGCGAGATCTCACTCACTCTCAGGAGAACAGATGGGGGAAACGCCCCCATGATTCAATTACCTCCACCTGGTCTCTCCCTTGACACGTGGGGATAATGAGGATGATGGGGATGACAATTCAAGATGAGATTTGGGTGGGGACACAGCCAAACAGTATCACTACCTCCGTTAAGAAGCTGAGGGTCTGCAGAGCGTTTCTCCGGGCATGATTCAAGGAGTGCCCAGGAATCTTGTGAAAATTTTAAATTCCTTGGCCTACTCCCTACTCTACCACAGATTCTCATGGGATAGGCAGGGGTGGGGGCGGGCCTACAAATCCATATTTTCCAGCAGCTTCCCGGCCATTCTAGGGAGGTTTTTCCTGGCAGAGCTTTCAAGAACACAAGAGTAAAATCCCATTACCGTCCAGATGATCGTCAGTTCTGAGTCGACATGAGAAGGTTGTTATGGGTTTTTGTTGTCCTGCTCCACATAAGAATAACTTTCCTCACTATTTTCCTCATACTTGACTGAAAAACGGGAGCAGGACAGGTGTTGTGGCTTTGCTCCTTGGTCTCTTGGTGGCTCTGCGGCCTCAGACGTGTTGCTCGCCTCTGCCTCTCAGCTTCTTCCTCACGTCACATGGAGCCTGAAGCGCAGCTGCTTCCTCAGGGCGTGCTCAGGGCTAAGTGCACCCCTCGTGCCGGCCAAGCCAGTGCCTGACACCCTCCTCCTCACTGCTAGCAAGTTCTAATCCCTGTGAGCAGAGAAATGAACAGCAAACTCCATGAAGGGGACTTAGCATCACCGCTGGAGAGTGAAAAACTACTCACACTGCCGAGAAAACTTCCAGGTTAGCTGAGCATCAGCCCTGGACAGGCACAGACCTCAAAGACCCAGGAGAGGCTGGAGTAATTCCAGCACTTTGGGAGGTCGAGGCAGGAGGATCACTTGAGCCCACGAAGCTGAGGCTGCAGTGAGCTATGACTGCACCACCACACTCCAGCCTGGGTGACACAGCAAGACCCTGTCTCAAAAAAAAAAAAAAAAAACACCCAGGAGAAAGGGAGTGTGTCGTCTTCATGGAATGAGACCTGGAGTCACGGGCTCTGGAAGACACGCATGGCACGGGAAGGAGCTGGTCTCTAGGCAAGGGAGCCCCCAGCCGGGGAGGTTCCAAGCACTTGTCACACATCCGCTGACTTACCTTAAGGGCCCAAAGAAGTCATGTGAATGCTTCAGACTGTGTTACCTCCAGTTTTCAAAGTAATTTACATGCCACAGACCACAGATGGCAAATGTTTCCTTCACAGGGCCTATCAGGTGGCTGTGGCTGCCCGCACACTGTGTTAAGAAGGATTCTGGGCCAGGTGCGGTGGCTCACGCCTGTAATCCCAGCACTTTGAGAGGCCGAGGTGGGTGGATCACGAGGTCAGGAGATTGAGACCATTCTAGCTAACACGGTGAAACCCCGTCTCTACTAAAAACACAAAACATTAGCCGGGCATGGTGGCGGGCACCTGTAGTCCCAGCTACTCGGGAGGCTAAGGCAGGAGAATGGCGTGAACCCAGGAGGCGGAGCTTACAGTGAGCCAAGACCGCACCACCGCACTCCAGCCTGGGTGACAGAGCGAGATTCTGTCTCAAAAAAAAAAAAAAAAAAGAGGATTTTGAGCAGCAGTAAGGCTCCACCAGGCCTGCATGAAGATTGGCCACACTTGGGCCTTGGGTTTGCCATTCTCACACTGGCAATATCAATGAATCCAGGGACGTGAGTGAGCACATCTTCTGACACGTTCCTCCAAAAAGTCAAGGCTCCGCCCTGGTAACTCTAAGTTCTCTTGGGGCAGAAACTCCTTTGACACTCAAGACACAGGTTCTCTCTCCACTCACACAGAAGTTTGCATGCAATTTCCTTCAGCACACGAACCCCAGATCTGACACAAAAGAACAAATCCTGTACGACTCTGCTTACAGGCACCTAGAGTAGTCACATTCATGGAGACAGGAAGTAGAAGGGTGGTTGCCAGGAGCTGCGAGGGAGGGGAACGGGGAGTGGGTGTTTAATGGGCAGAGTTTCCATTGGGGAAGATGAAAAAGTTCCAGAGGTCAATGGCGGTGATGGCGGCACAATGTGAATGCACTTAATGCCACTGATTGACCATTTTAAAATGGCTTACATGGGCCAGGCGTGGTGATTCATGCCTGTAATCCCAGCACTTTGGGAGGCTGAGGCAGGTGGATCGCTCGAACCTGGGAGGTGGAGGTTGCAGTGAGCTACTGCACTCTAGCCGGGCCACAGAGCGAGACACCGTCTCGAAAACACACACACACACACACACACACACACACACACACACAAAGGCTTAAATGGTAAATTTTATGTTATACACATTCAAGCACAAGTTTTTTTTGAAAAACAGCAGATCTGCAAAATGCCACTCCTAGGTCTGTGGCTTTGTTCTCACACTGACGAGCATGCCAGTTTGTCTCTGCCAGGCAGTTGATCAACCCTCAGCGTTCCCTGTGCTTCCAGCAGTACAAAGGCCCAAGCTGTGTCTCAGACACCAGGCTCATAGCTCCCTGAGGCTGACGCCATTCATGATTCCTGGTGGGCCACGCAGGGTAAGGACGACTGGGCTTCCTGCCTGAAGCTCTCCAACTGCACTCATGTTCCAGAAAGAACCTCATCTCATCTTCCGGGGGGCGCAGGATTGTTTCTGCTGGCATTTGGTGCCAGGATCCCAGGTTGACTCCAGTTGTCACAAGTCCTGGGTTTTCTCGACTCTAATAGAGTAACCCAAGCAAAGGGGCACTCCCAGAACACCCGAGGGGCTTTCCTTCGCCGCTCCTTTGGTTTTCTTGGATTCTCTGCTTAGAAACCTACAATGTGGAATCCAGTCATGGAAGCCGTCACAGAATAGTTTTTTTTTTTCTGGTCAAATTTACTACACGATAAATTAGCATATTGTTATATAATCATTTCAGTATAGAGTGTATAACAGCATGCACGTCTCTGTCCCCCAGCCCGAGAAACAGCACATTCAGCATGCGCCACTGAAGCTCCTGGAGTGAACCTCCAGCCCTGGTCCTCGGCCCCTGCCTGGAGAGGTAACCATCTGGATTCAGCGCTCCTGGCCCTCTGCACTGCTCCATACTTTCATACTCATGTCGGAAACAATGAGTAGTGTTGTGTTGTTTGCTTGAACGCTCTGGATATACCAGCGTCATACGGGACATATACTTCTGTGGCCAGGTGTTCTTCTCTCATCCTCATGTCTTTTATCTTCATCCATTTTGACGTGTACAACTCTAATCCATTTATTTTTACTGCTCCCTAGAACTCCACTGTAGGGCACTCCCATGTTATCCCCTCTCCCGTATATGGAAACTTAGATGTTTTCATAATTACAAACAAATGCTGCAGTCAACACGTGTGCACGTTCATTTGCACGCCCATGGCTGGAACTGTGGGGTCAAGGATGGGCAGATGTTCAGTTCTACTCAGAATGCCCCTTTACATTCCAGTGTGGTGGGATCGATGCCCATGCCCCCTGACAGTACTGGAGAATTCCCACTGCTCCACATCCTCACCAGATTTCCAGATTTTCTGTTGTCAGACTTTTTAATTTTTGCCGATCTCACGGGTCTGTTGCGCCATGGTAAACAAAAGGGCCAAGAGGCCTTATACCAACACCATCTGTCTGCCACAATTCCACCCCCACGCCACCCCACTGTACACCACTACCTTCCTACACTTATTTCCTATTCTCTTCCTGGACTCACCGCATTTCTGCCACGCTGGCCTCCTTGATGTTCCGTGTACGCACCAGGCACTCATGCCTTGGAACTTTTGCACTGGCTGTCCCCTCTTCCACAAATGCTGTTCTCCAGATAGTCATGTTCTCTCCTTGCTTTCTTCAAGTCTCTGTGCAAATGCCACCTTCTCCGTGCAACCTATTGGTGCCACCTTATTCACAACTGTACCCAATCCTTGCTCCTGGCACTTCTCCTTTATCACCTACACCTTTATCACCTTCTAATAACCTATGTGATTCACTCACCAGTTTTATTTGTCTCTTTCCATCAAAATGTAGTATCTAGGTGGTGAGGGATTTTTGTTGGTTTTGTTTACTGGTATTTCCTGAGTTCTGAGGAGAGTGCTTGGTACATAATAGGTGTTCAGTAAATACTTGCTGAACACATGGAAGGATGAATGGAAGGATGGATGGATGGATGGATGGATGGATAAATGAATAGATGGATGAAGGGGCAGATGAATGGTAGACAGACAGATGAAGGGATGAGTGGATGAAGGAATGGATGGATGAAGGGATGAATGAGTGGATGGATGGATGGATGAAGGGATGAATGGAAGGAAGGAAGGAAGGAAGGAAGGAAGGACAGATGGATTGATGAAGGGATGGATGGGTGAACAGATGGAATTATGGATGGATGGATGGATGAGGGGATGGATGATGGATGGATGGATGGATGGATGGATGGATGGATGGATGGATGGATGTCTTAAAGCTCAAAGTCATTTGTGCTACTATTCACACTGGCTGCAATTTGTGAGCTTGGAAAACCTGTCCTTTTTTCCAGCCTGAGGTAAGATCCGATTCTTCACAAGGCTGTTTCACTACTGACATGTTTTCATCAGATACGTTTGCATGTTCATTAACTCACATAAACATTATTAAAAGGACTACATAAACAGCTTCCTACACGTTTCCTCTTGCTTTCATTCAGGTATAATTATATGAAAACACAATGTACCATATGTGCCAATGGACCATTCCCTTTCTTGTGCTTCCAAATGACAATTCCCCTCTGCAAACACACTCAGATACAGGTCTTTACATTTCTCCTTCTACTCCAAATCCAATCTGCCTTTTTAAGACAAAGATCTCAAAGCCCCTGCCCAATGATATGGGAGCCAACAATGTCCATTCTCACTCTAATATGGTCTAGGAACTCATTCTTACCTTTAAAAGTGCCTTGCAAATTGTAAAAGGGTATTCAAAAATGGTTATTTCCTCCTTCACTGTCCCCTTGTCACAACTATTCAAATAGTCATAAACATTCAATGCTGCCAAACATGATGGTGATTTCCAATCCTCTTCACCCTACCCAAGTCCAACATGTCACCCCTCCGGTTCTATGTCCCCTCACACAGGAAACAGTCAGAAACAGGCACAAGTATCCCCATAGCTGCAGAGGAATCAGTATGCTGAAGGTCACTGAAAGTGACTGGCCAGCAGCCTCTAAATCATTTTTATTTTCTTCCTGGCATACTACTCGTCTAGATCTTCCAGCCTCCCTTGCAGTTAGGTGTGGCCATGTGACCGAGTTCTAACACAGTGGTTTTCAACCAGGATAATTTTGCCTCCCAGGGGACATCTAGCAATGTCTGGAGAGGAGGCATCTGTGGTTGTCACAACTGGAAGAGAGAGGAGAGTTCTATGGGAAGCTACTGAGTCTCTGAGGCCAGAGAGCATCCTGCTGAACATTCCACAATGCACAGGACAGCTCCTCACAACAATAAACACCATTCACAGGCTTTGTGGCTTTGTTCTAACCCTGGTTAGCCTTTGGCCAGCTCAAATGCCCATGGTGCCAAAACCCTACACTCACCCGGTACTAATAGTTGAGAAACCCAGTTCTAACCAATGGAATGTGAGCTAACGTGTTGGAGCCAATTCCATGCCTGATCCGTAAAAACCAGCCAAGTGCACTTCTCCAAGCTCTTTCCTCTTCCTTAGTCTTGGTGGAGACGATCCCAGGCACCTTGGAAGCCACACACTGAATACAACGAGGCCACAAAAATGGGAAGAGCTTGCATCTGTCACTGCTTGAATGAGAGCTGTCTGCCCATCAATAACACACATTTTACACTAAGAAATAAACTAGCATGTTAGAGATCTGGATTTGTTCAAGATACCAGCTGGCATTAGCTAACTCAGTCACAAATACTTTTGCTTGTTTTCTTGAATAGATTCTCCAATGTATGGAGCTATACTTGAGTCAACATAACCTGGGGGACATCTAGATTGGCCAGTCCTATTTCAAGTGGGAGAGGGACCTCCAGGGTACATTTCTCTAGAAATCAATTTATAACTGATATAACGAGCTGGCTTATGCAGAGACACAGGAGGGGTCTGTGGGCCCATTTAAGTCTCTGAGGAACTTTTGAAATCAGGACTCTTTACATAAGCTCTCTACAGTTCGCCTCTGGCCAATCCAGTCCTATAGGACTTCAAATTTGAATCTCTGTACTCTACATTCTGCAAGTTTAGTCGAATATATCTTCTCTTGCCCAGTTATCTTAACCAGTCAGAGCTTAGTAAAAATAAATGCAAGTTCCTATTTCTTTATAGATTTACTATATTTGTCACAAGGAGTTTTTGCAATTGTAGTGATCATTTACTGAGGAGGTTGCTAAATTTAGCAGATAAAATATAAGGACATACTCACACTAAAAAAAAAAAAAATTATTCTATTCATTGTCCAGCCAAAACTTAAATTTAAATAGGTTTCCTGCATTTTATCTGGCAACCGTATTTACTGAGCATTTATATTTTTTCAGGTACAACGTCTGAGATACATTCAAATCCTCAAAATAACACTGAGGGTGGCACCACTATCATCTCCATTTTCAAATGGGGCAACAGAATGCAAAAGGCTATGTTCTCTCCCTGGGTCATAGCCCACCTGCCATTGGCAGTGCCGGGATCCCAAAGCAGCCTGGCTCTTCTGGCCTGGTCCAGTGCTCAGAGGCATGCCCACAGGCAGGATGTGCTCAAGGAATGCTCCCTATTTCACCACCATTCCTTTAAAACCTACAGAAAGCATAGTCTATTTTTCTAATGGGCAATCATCAAAATATAGTAGCTGTAAGGGAACCTGAAGATGTGGTGAGGATGGTTAAGAATGTTTTATTTAAAACTTTCATGTTTTGGAACTATTGTAAAATATCCATAGTAAATATTTCCTTTTTTAAAGCTTGCATTTCTCTCAGAGATAAATGGATGTGATCCAGTTTCAGAAAGTCTTAGGAGGTGACTCGGTGCAAACATCAGGGGCACAGACGTTGAAGTCAGATGGGAGTGGGCTTAGATTCTGGTTCCGCCATCTCCTGGCCGTCCTGACGTGGGCAGGTTACCTGGGCACCCTTCCCACTGGCAGTTTGATGGCCTGCAAGATATGAAAGCAGCAGTCTCCATCTGAGGGCTTTGTAAGGGCTTAGTGCAGAAGCAGGTGAGGGAGCGTTACCCACCCTTTACATATGGGAACCTGGGGCTCACAGTGACTCACCCCAGGACACGCCGCAAACTGGGGGTGCAGGTGCTCCCAGAGAAGAAAGAAACAACAGGCTGGGTGGGAACCAAGAGCTCAGGCTCAGGGAGGGACAGACTGGGGGAGCCCTCAGCCTCACCCCCCAGGCCCCAACATGCACCCCATCCCCGTAACAGCAGCAACCAAAGAACCTCATCCCACTTTATTGCAAGGATTTCCCTCCTCTGCATTTCTTTAGTGGCTCCTCCCAGGGAATTCAGGACTCATGACTTGAACCAGCAGGACTCATGAACTGTAACTGCAGCCACCCACTCCTGACTGCTTTCTCGGGATCAGAAATGCCACACTGGGATTGTGTCACTGGGCAACACCATCCCAGGAGTCCCTGCACCTTCAATCAAAAAGACAATGGGAGAAAGAGCCTGATCCTAACCTGGAAGCATGATCATCACTCCACACTCAAATTCTTTACATTGTTTTTTTTTTTTTTAATGTTGAAATCACTTTAAAATCTTGATAAAGAGAAGTGACGCCCCTGAGATGTTTCTGTGACACTGTTTCTGCAGTGTCTGGAGGTACCAGATGCTCTCACTGCCTTTCCGGGAAACCGTGCGGCCCACAGGCAGCCACCTCTCACCAGTGAGGCTTCCTTGTGTCTCCAGGGCCCCTGAGCTGGTAGCCATTCATCATACTTGGTTTTGATTCAAAACATACAGTCATCGCATAGGGTTATAAATTCTATATCTTGGGGGATAGCTGGTAGGAGTTCTTATCAGTTAAAAAAAAATTCTGAGAATATACTAGACATATGACAAATAAAACCTGTATTTCTTTTAAAATTCAGGCACTTTAGGCGGGGTGCAGTGATGCCTGTAATCCCAGAACTTTGGGAGGCTGAGACAGGCAGATGACTTGACCCCAGCAGTTCAAGACCAGCTGGATAACATGGTGAAAATCCATCTCTACAAAAAAATACAAAAATTAGCCAGGTGCAGTGGCTCACATGTGTAATCCCAACACTTTGGGAGACCAAGGCAGGAGGACCACTTGAGTTCAGGAGTTTAAGACCAGCCAAGGCAACATGACGAAACCTCGTCTCTAAAAAATACAAAAATTAGCCAGGCGCAGTGGCATGTGCCTATAGTCCCAGCTACTCGGGGGACTAAGGCAGCAGAACTGCCTGAGCCCAGGAGGTAGAGGTTGCAGTGAGCTATTGCACCACTGCACTCCAGCCTGGGTGACAGGAGTGAAACCCTGTCTCAAAAAAGAAAAAAGAGCTGGGTGCAGTGACACATGCCTGTAGTCCCAGCTACTTGCGAGGCTGAGGTGGGAGGATTGCTTGAGCCCAAAAGGTTGAGGCTGCAGTGAGCCGTGATCATGCCACTGTACTCCAGCCTGGGCAACAGAGTGAGACACTGTCTCAAAAAAAAAAAAAAAAGAAAAGAAAAAAACAGGCAGGTTTGTTGGATGTAGGGATATTTTTATGCACTATAAATCATGTTGTTATAAAACTTTCAGGAAAAACACACAAATAAATTATCAATGATTACAACTACAATGAATGCACAAGATTGTACCTAGAAACTCTATACCCCCAATTCCTCTTTTGGGGGCCACTTTATGAAACAAATCACCCCCAAACGTACTGGCTTACGACAATGAGTTACTCTACAGTCCCACTGGCCAGGCTCCAGTGGGCAGCCTCACTCACGATGTCTTGTGTGCATGGTCAGTTGGTGGTTGGGGCTGATGTCATCTTACCGGGCTGGATATCCATGGGGACCTCCTTTACTCCTAGCCAGGTGCTCAGCTGGGATGACTAAGGCTGGCCCCTTTTTTAGCCCTTTCCATGTGGCCTCTTCATGCCACTAGCTTGGACTTCCTCACTACATGGTGATCTCAGAGATGTCTGCATTTGTTACATGGTGACTGTAAGAGAGAAGCCAAGAAACCAAAACCTTTTAGACCATAACCATCCCACTACAACCAAACACCAGAGAAAAGACTGTGGCTCCAACTCTAACCCCATCAGCAAAGAGGAGTGGAAAGCTAGACAGACCCCCTCAGCCTGCTGCAGGAGACGCCACCCTGAACAACATGATGGTGTCAGAGAAGGGAGGGAGCAGACAGTCATCCCTGCAGGACAGCAACGAGCTCTCTCAACAGAGCATCAGCAGAGGCCACCTGGGAGCCTGAACACCTACACTACCCACCCCATCCACCACCCAGGGGATAATCAGCACTGCCCTCTCCCCACTGGGGTTGTCAAGGTTGAGTAAGAACTGGGACATTCGTCACCTTCCAGTGGTAAGATGCCTCCACTCCACAGTGCCAGTGGAGGCCACGTGAGGAGCACCTCCTCCCAAGCCAGGGTGGTGGCAGCAGAGGCCACTATAATAGAAGATTTAAATAAGCTCCAGATCATAGCCTAACCCCCAAAACGCCCATGTTTCAAGAAAAAAGAAAAAACCATTCATCATTCCAAGAACCAAGAAAAGCTCAATTTGAACGAGATAAGACAATCAACGGTTGCCAACACTGAGGTGACACAGATGTTGGAATAATCTGACAAAGACTCTGCAGGGGCCATCAGAAAAATCCTCTAACAGGTGATTACGAACAGGCAAAAAAACCATGAAAAATAGAAAACTCAGCAAAGAAGCAGAAAATGTACAGAAGAATGAAAGGGAAATTTTAAAACTGAAAAATACAGTAACCAAAGCAAAAACTCATTGAATGGACTCAAAAGCACAGTGGAGAGGACAGAGGAAACCATCTGTGAACCCGAAGATAGAACAACAGAAATTGCCCAACTGAACAACAGAGAGAAAACAGGTTTTTAAATAATATATTAATACAGCCTCAGGGACCTCTGGGATTATAACAAAAGATCTAATATCAGTGTCATTGGAGTTCTGGAAAGGGAAGAGAAAGAGGGCAGGGCTGAAAAAGTATGTGAAGAAATAATGGGTGAAAATTTCCCAAGTTTGGCAAAAGAAGCCAAGAGAACCTCAAACAGAATAAACCTAAAGAAATCCATGCCAAGATAGATCACAGGCAAACTTCCAAAAATGAAAGACAAATAAATCAAGGAGAGAGAAAACACACCTTACTTACATTGGGGAAAAAGCAATTCAAATAACAGCAGATTTCGTAAGAGAAATCAGATTTCATCATGAGAAATCTTGACAGAAGGAAGAAAGCACCACAGTATATCAGGGGCTAAAAGGAAAAAACGCTGTCAACCCCAAATTCTATATCCCGCAAAAATACTCTGCAGGACTGAAGAACAAGACTTCAGATGCAGGAAAACTAAGGGAACATGTCACCAACACACCTACTCTAAAAGACTGTCCAAAAAATGCTCTTGAAACAGAAGAAATTAATCAAAGAGAGAATAATGGAACATCAGGAAGGAAAAAACAACAAATGAAAAAGAGAAAATGTGGGTAAGTATAACATATTTTCCTTCTCTTGAATTTCTAGAAACAAGTGTACAGTTCCTTAAAGCTGGGGTCCCCAAAACCCCAGGCAGTGGGCTGGTTGGTACTTGTCCGTGGCCTGTTAGGAATCCCAGGCAGAGTAGGAGGTGAGCAGTGAATGAGCATTACTCTCTGAGCTCCGCCTCCTGTCACATCAGCCACAGCATTAGTTCTCATAGGAGCGCAAACCCTACTGTGAACTGCACATGCCAGGGATCTAGGTTGTGGGCTCCTTATGAGAATCTAATGCCTGATGATCTGAAGTGGAAGGGTTTCACCCTGAAACCATACCCCCAGTACCCATCACCCATCCCCCAGCCCCACTCCGTCAACCCTCCCAACCCCTCATTGAAAAAATGGTCTTCCACTAAACTGGTTCCTGGTGCCAAAATGGTTGGGGACTGCTGCCTTAAAGGGTCCAAGTAGGCTCATTCTCACCCAGCAGTCTGCCTGCTGCAGGGCTCATTTATGAGGCCAATTATTTATCCAGGGCTCATTTAAGAGGCCAATTACTCGTCTGAAGCTTCTCAGATTGTGGTCACCGCACCACCAGCATCAGCATCTCCTTGCCATGCTTGCTTAAAATGCTATATCGTGGGCTGCTCACCAAACCTACTGAACCAGAATTTATACAGGTGGTCACAGAACTCTGGGTGTAAACATGGGCTTCTTACATACACTAAGGTTTGAAAAGTCCTAAGATGTCAGTTGACCTTTAGTTAACAAAGGGTCAAACTCAGTCACTCAGTGTTAACTTAGGAGAAAAATGAGAACAAACTGTTTTCACAGATTCCTGGCTCTTGGCAATCCAGTCGTCCAAGACTGGAATACATTTCAAGGTTAAAAGAGTAATCAATGCCCCACCTGCAGTCAAGGTTACACACCCATGCACGATGGCAGGTTGTCCCAGAAGTGTCGGCTGGAGTCTAGGCCACCACAGAGTCGTCTGTCATTCACGTGTGCCTGCGTTTCTTACTCTCTGAAATGGGGGCAGTCTTTCCAAACTCGGGGTCAAGGCGAACAGCAAAAGAGGTGTGCCGTGCACAGGCGTGTAAACGATTAGCTTTTACCTAAAGTGCATGTTTACGCTCTCCTTAAAGAGGGCCGTCGTATCGCCCTTTTTTCTTTGAAATGTAACGTCTGTCTCTGTATTCTTCACATAGAATCCTAGAAAACCAGGCATGATAGTTAAAATTAAATGTACGCCTTAATTTACCCAGCGTTTTCTGCAGAGTACTGATGAAGGGCAGTCCCTGGTGTCAGCGGAGGCAGGAAGAGGCGGGGAAGAGCCCAGGACCCACCACAGAGCTAACCAGGGCGATGTGCGCTCCACCAGCTAGAGCGCAAATCCTTCGCCCTATGCCTAGGACTGCCCCTCCAGGTACGCCTCCAAGTCCCCTCCGCCCACGATGTCTCTCCACGTTCCCTCCTGGAGATGCAGCCTTAGGTCCTGCCCCTCCCGCAGAATGGTTCAGGGTGATGCGCAGCTACAGTGTTGCAGGACCCGCGCACGCACTCCCTCTAACTAGAGAGGAGAAGTCTGCAAACTGTCATTATTAAAAGGAGAAGGCTGAATCTGGGAGCAAACGCCTTAAAGATGCGGCAACGGGAAGAAGGAGTTCAAACTATTGAAAAATTTGTCCACCAGCCAACTCGCGCTGGCGCCGCCTGGGTGATACCAGTGCCCGGGCGATGGGTTCGCCTGCCTCCCTGGCCGAGAAAGGGCTGTGCCCCAAAGCCCTGTCCTGTGCCCATGACAAGTGCGTCCCGGCCAGGCCCTAGCCCTTCCCAGGGACCGTGACAGGGCTCGCAAGGCGCAGCAGGGTGGCTGCCCCAGCTGGGAGCGCACGTGGTGCGAGGCAGGCGGGTTCCTCCTCACTGAAGTCATGGACTTGGCTCGCTGCGGAGGGGCCGGCGCGCGAACGTCGCTTGAGCCAAAAAAGAAAAAGTGCACACAATGTGTTTCTTGTTAGGGTCTGCAAGCCGGGCCTCGGGTTTTGCTTTTGGTGCCACATTATAATATTAAGATGCAGTTTGATTCCGGACAAGCCCGCCCTTGTCGCTGGCTGGGGTGGATTCCCACGGGTGCTGGTGGGCAGAGGGGGGCGGCCTGGGTGCTGCGCTGTGGCGCGGAGGCGCACAGCGGATGGAGGGGGGTCCCTACATGACCTAGGCTCCCTGCGGTGGCCGGACCCCAAGACTCGCGCCTCAGGGCGGCGCAGACTCGGCGACGCCAGCGCTGCTCCCGCCAGCTCGCAGGCGGCCCAAGATTGTTTTCCAAGACCTTATCTCTCGCTCAAGTTAATTTTCTTTTTTAATGTGGGGACCGGAATAAAAGACACAGGAAAATCCTTTGTGAAAACTAAACGCAGCCACAAATCGGGGCACTTCACAGCACTTGTAACAAAATATTTGCAGTGCCCGTAGTTAAATCGGCCCCTCCGCCAAACTTCCCAAACTTTGCTTTCTTTGAACCAAGCTGAAAAGTGATCTCCCTAAAAGGGGATCAGAAGTTTGCAAGCAATTGGATTTAGCACGGAGTTCTACCTGGTGCTCTAGAGAGCTCTGGGCACACAGGACGGTGCGGGAATCCTGGAAGGAATTACGGCCCGAATGGTGGCAGGGCAGGGGAGGAGCCACTGTTAAGCCGTGGTAGTCGTTGAAACGCTTTGTTAATGCCGTTTATTAGCTGTGTGCGACAAGAAGTTTAAGAGGTTAGGCAGGTCTTCAAAAATATCCAAAAAGAGAAAAATAAACATTCCCTCCTTTGCTTTTTGTGGCTTTGCTCATTTTCTTCCCCTGGAGTGGCCCTTCATCTAAGCCTGTTTTAAACCCAAAATCGGTTATCTGCTTTCAGGGTAAGGGCTCCCTCTTGCCAAGGTATTAAATAAACAAGTAAAGCAAAAACTTGAATCCTTATGTAATCCAGATGCCGTTTCCTCGAAAACCACAACAAATGCTGCTAAACCAGATAACAGGACCGGGAACATTCGGCCCCCCAACCCCCACCCCACAACACACAGCCTCCGCCCCCAGCTTTAGAGCCAGCAGAGGACATTTATGTTCAGGAACTCCTCTCCAAGGCAGACGATAAATAATTGCTACTAACACTCTCAACTGCAGATGAGCACCCTTGAGGGATCCGGATGCCATAAACTGTCCGGGAATGTTGGCATCTGGTTCTTAAAGCCAGGACCCAGGAGGCGTCTGCGTCTGCAAGCTGACTTGGAAGTTTCTGGCCTCTTGATGTTCTCAGGCGAAAATGGTGCATTAGAAAGGGGATTGGTCTGGCCCGCGCTTTGTAGTGGTAATGAGGGCGCGAATCGCGCTAGGCTCTGCGCGCGCGAGGCTCCGCTGAGGACGAGGGCTGGGGCTGCACATCTTCCCGGCTCCCCCAGGGCAGAGAAAGGGGCTGTTCTGGAAAAAAAAAATTAATGGTTTATGCGCAACCTCCCAGGGTTCCGAGGAGTTAGGCAGTAGGACGGTGTGGAGGCGGGGGTGGGGTCTTTCAGTCTTTCAAAGGTATTTTTAGGAGTCCAGCATCAAAGCCATCCGGCGAGAAACTGAAATCATCCAAAGGAATAAATAAATCTCGCCATGCGCTAAGACAGTGACCTTCTCCCCATCCACCCTTCTCTCGCGCCAGCCCCACCCCGAACGCCTCGGTTGCAAAAACAAAATAAAGCAAAACCTTTTGCTTTGGCAACCTCTAAGCCATATTATGCCTCCTTTTGCAAAAGGAAGATTTCTTTCTTCTCCCTCTCCCGGCATTTTTCCTTCGTCCTCTCTTCCTCCCCTCACCCCGCCCTCCCTCAACCCTTTTCTTTTCTTCTCGGTCCTCCTTCCTTCCCCAAATCACTCGAAACTTAAGACGTGCAGCAGCTGCAGGTGCGCGCGGGCCGGCGGCCGGGCCGGGGCGAGCCTGGGACTGCCGGGCCTCGCAGGCATTGATCAGCTGGGCGCGCGCGCTGAGTGACGGCGCGGTTGCCATGGCAGCCGCCTGAGCGGCGCCGCGAGGACAAGGCTGCAGGGCGGCGTGAATGGGCGGCGTCACGCGCCTGGCGCCAGAGAGTCTGCTCCGGGGCTCCGGCTCCGGCCCCGCCGCGGCCTGGCCCGCGCGCCGCCGCCGCCGCCGCCGCTGCCAATTCATCACCTGTCAGGGATCACTCGCGGGGTCACGGGCGGAATGGACACAGCTGTGAGAACAAAACCCGGGAAAGAAAGGCGAGCGCTCCCCATTGCGCCAGATGTGCAGGGAGGACCTTGAGACGCGCCCCCCGCCCCCGCAGGCTCCTCCCGCCCCCCGGCGCATCACGCGGGGGTGGCAAAGGCGGCCTGGCCAGCGTTCGAGCTCCCCGCCCGGAGCTGCTTCTGATTACCGCAAGGGGCCCGGACGCGAGAGCCGCCGCGGGGCCTGCCTTAGAGGCGGAGTGAGTGAGCCCTGGAGCCAGGCTGGGGGACCTTACGGGCAGGTCTGTCGCTGCCACGGGGTGGGGGCGTCCCGGTGCGGAGTCGAGGGGGACCGCACCAACACCTACCAGCGGAAGCTCTGCACACCTTCCCACCGTCCGCGGATCTAGCCCGCCCTCCAGCTGGGGCCGTTTGAACTTTGGAGGCCTCAAATGCAAACCCACCTAAGCCACCAATTGACAGATTTTGACGTGCCTTTAAAACCACCTCGAAAATGCTGCAACACGATTTTCCCCCACGAAAGCAATTTTTAAGGTGATTTCATATTGGGCGTGCTGAAACAGACACATTAGTAACTTAGGCCTTGTTTAAATCATTAACTTTAACAGCTTCGTAATCCCCTTTAAATGATCTTTAAATGAATGTAAAACTGGGTAGCGTGCCAATAGAATCGAATTCAACACAGCCAGGCAGACTGGACTCTGACATGGCAGCTAAAGAAACACCAGAAAACTTTCACCATATTTAGCCATTTTACTACATCAGGGTACAAAAATGATCATGGGAGAAGGCACTGCCTTAATCAACTTTGCAAAGTGTAAAGTGAAACCGCACAATGCTCATTACCGCCCAGCCCAGAGCCTGGCTGTGGGGATAATGAGGCTGGCACGGATGTTAACATACGGTGTCCTTGGAAAAAGCTAGGAATGCGTCAGTATCGAAGAGCTGCAATGTCCAAGAATCATAAGTAATAATTTGAGAATCCCAAAGATGTTTGTTTACATTGGCTATTATTGTAAAATAGTCAAAGTATAACATCATGAACCAAAATAGTGTCAAAACAAAATCTGTTCCACTGTGGCACGTATGTGACAGAAACACATGCACACAAAGTACATCAAAAGGCTCGAACTGTGGGAGGACTCGGATAGTAAATCACTTCCAGACTTAATATCAGAAGAGATACGGTGCGTTCAACGCTGTCAGGGACAGAGTCGCAGGCAGCATTGCCGGGCCTTGGGAAGGCCCTCGGCAAATTTCTGGCTGGACAGGAAACCATTCACCTCCTTCCTCCAAACTGAGGGGGGTTGATTCCAGGAAGGTGATCTCCACCTCAGCGCCACCCACTCTGCTTCCCTGGAGAGGCGTCCTGGGGCGCACAGCTGTCACGTGACAGCCAGAGACCGCTGGCCCCACCAGCGGATAAATTAATCATTAAGTGAAGGAAAAAACAGTTTCCCCATTATTGAGCTTTTCTTTCAGCCTCTAGGCCTGCCCCTTCCTCTTTCTGAAATGCAGAGGAGGTACAGATTGAGGCAGAAAGTAAATAAGATTTGAATATTGCCTTTCCTGGGGTTTTCTAGTTCATTGTTTTCTGGAGAAAATATTTTCAAAACAAGAAAGTGACATACTGTGATCAGGACAGAATTCTAGATAAGCTAGAATTATGTGAGAATTAGCAAGGTATTTGAGTAAATAGCTGCAAACTTTTTAAAATTTAGACTGAGTTCTTAAACATTCTCAGCCAAAACAAAACAAAACAAAACCTTGAACCTGTATTCAGCACTAGTGCTGAAAAGATTCCAAACCTCATATATGACAGAGTATTTTTTTTTTCTTAGCGTGAAGATGTTAATCAATGGCTAGGGCCACCTATCTGTCACAAAGCTTTGAAACTCCTCTAGGTGTTGGAATGTGACACCAGAAATCACAATTCTTGCATAATTAATCACATTACTTTGCCACCTACACTGAAGGGCACAGACCGGCAGCCTTTCAAGGGCAGTGTATGTAAATGTAGTTTCAAAATGCAAATTCTCCTAATTATTTCCGATTAATACTATCATTATAATAGCCCTGCCTCCTTTTTGAAAAGGAACCCTGAAAGCGCCCTGTGAGAGCTCCTTAGCGACCGGCGAGGTTGGGCATGGCTTCCAATAAGTACTCATTTTCCTGAGTTTACAGTAATGCCTCCCGCGCTGCTCCGGGTTGCAAAAACCCACACTAAGCCTGTCGTCGAATGCATGCGTGGGTGGTTTGTTTGTGTTAACATAACTTTTCCTTATCTGAAGAGACGAACTCACTCTACAAACGTGACTCTTCAGTGACAACCTAATTTGCGTTTTCACTTTCTTCTGAAATGCTTTCTATCTTTCCTCACGCTCTCCCTCCGATGGGTTGCAGTGAACTGTGGCTTCCCCCTGCGGTGCTGAACTCGCCCGTGTAGCCGTGATTTTAGGGCTGCCGACAGCTCCAAGGTGTGCAAGGCTTGGTCTGGGAACACCCCCAGGGCAAGGGTCCTGCCGCGCGTTTGGAATTAGAATTAAGAATGCACATTTAGGCGCCCAGGGTCTGCCCCCTCCCCCTTCCTTCTTCCCCTCCCCCATCTTCCCTCGTCTCCCTCCTCCTCCCCCCCTCCTTCCTCCTCCTCCCGCCTCCCGCCTCCCCGCTCCCGGTTCCCCGCTCCCCGCCCCCCGCCCGCCTCGCGCTTACTGTACTGTACTCTATTTACCACCCCAGCTGGGCTCGCGTCCCGCCCACCCCGCGGGGATTGGCTGCGAACGCGGAAGAACCGAGCCCACGCCCCGCGCCCGCGCTTGCCAATGAAAGCGCCCGCTCGGCTTGATGGACGCGCTTCCTTCCACCAATGGGGACGAAGGGAAGCCCGAGCGTGTGGCCCCGGCGAGTGCGGATAAAAGCCGCCCCGCCGGGCTCGGGCTTCATTCTGAGCCGAGCCCAGTGCCAAGCGCAGCTAGCTCAGCAGGCGGCGGCGGCGGCCTGAGCTTCAGGGCAGCCAGCTCCCTCCCGGTCTCGCCTTCCCTCGCGGTCAGCATGAAAGCCTTCAGTCCCGTGAGGTCCGTTAGGAAAAACAGCCTGTCGGACCACAGCCTGGGCATCTCCCGGAGCAAAACCCCGGTGGACGACCCGATGAGCCTGCTGTACAACATGAACGACTGCTACTCCAAGCTCAAGGAACTGGTGCCCAGCATCCCCCAGAACAAGAAGGTGAGCAAGATGGAAATCCTGCAGCACGTCATCGACTACATCTTGGACCTGCAGATCGCCCTGGACTCGCATCCCACTATTGTCAGCCTCCATCACCAGAGACCCGGGCAGAACCAGGCGTCCAGGACGCCGCTGACCACCCTCAACACGGACATCAGCATCCTGTCCTTGCAGGTAAGACCTGCTCCGGGGCCCCCGCCCCGCCGCCGCACACTCCCGCGGTCGCCTGGGTTGTCACTAGGAGATACGTAGCCCAGACGGTGACTTTCGCATGAGCTATTTAACTTTATTTTCATAAGAATCTGCCGTAGATTGAGCTGTGCGTGAAATTGCTAGTAAGTTCTGACATGTTAATGCGTCTGTTTTTGAATCTGAATTGTTACCATAAACGTGTTTAATGGAACTTGCTGGTCTGTGGACTACTTCAAAAAAACAAAACAAAAACCCTTTCTACTTAACATTGTCTTAACCTCGTACTCTTTATCCTCTTTCTCTCCAGGCTTCTGAATTCCCTTCTGAGTTAATGTCAAATGACAGCAAAGCACTGTGTGGCTGAATAAGCGGTGAGTGTTTGCTTGTGCCACCCGTGGGTAAACTGCCCTTCTGTGTGTGTGTGCGTGCGCGCATGTGTTTTTGCTTGTGTATCTGTAAAATGTCTGATTTGGTAAATGCATGCTTACTTCGCGGTGTTACCCGTACTACATTGTCTCACTAGACATGAAGGAGCTTGTAGTTCTGGGTACTCGAGATCACAGAACATTTTCCTTTAAAAGGAAATGATGCCAATAACTTACTACGAAGGCGGCCGAGGAACGTGTGTATTGGCTTTGTAGCAAATGTAATGCCCTGGCTCTTCCTACGATTCCTCTGGTACTACTATGAGGTACTAACCTCCACTGTAATTAATCTTATCGCCACAAATTCCACAGTGATCCTGCTTCCCTAAAACTATAGTCCTCTGGGATTCTCTGGGCTAGTTGAGGATTGCTACCCTGTGCCTTAGACCCTGTGATGTGGGATCCCAGACTTCCCTATCTGTTAACTAAAGGGCTGTTTTCAATCAAATAATTGTTACAAGAAGCAGACTGGCGCCTGTAGCACTGCTGTTGGAGATCCAAATAGGAGATTGGGTTGGGAAGTTTTTCCCTTGAGTCTCTGCTATTTTAATGTTTAATTTGCGCTGTCGAGGCGAGTGTGTGTGTTGCATCTGGACGCCAGGGTTTGCCCAATCTTTGAGTGTTTGGTTAAATGTTCAAACTGTGGCTTCCTCCCGGCGCCAGTCTGCCCGCCTCTGCCCTTAGGTTACATTCTCTCAAACATGCCTTTCTCTCCCAATCTTTTGCAGGTGTTCATGACTTCTTTTTTTTTCTTTGCACAACAACAACAACAACAACAAATCCACAGAATCTTTTAAGTGCTGAACTTTTCAACCATTTCACAAGGAGGACAAGTTGAACGGACCTTTTTGAAAAGAAAAAAAAAATGGAAGGAAAACTAAGAATGATCATCTTCCCAGGGTGTTCTCTCACCTGGACTGAGATATTCGTTATTTATGAAAAAGACTTTTAAATGCCCTTTCTGCAGTTGGAAGGTTTTCTTTATATACTATTCCCACCATGGGGAGCGAAAACGTTAAAATCACAAGGAATTGCCCAATCTAAGCAGACTTTGCCTTTTTTCAAAGGTGGAGCGTGAATACCAGAAGGATCCAGTATTCAGTCACTTAAATGAAGTCTTTTGGTCAGAAATTACCTTTTTGACACAAGCCTACTGAATGCTGTGTATATATTTATATATAAATATATCTATTGAGTGAAACCTTGTGAACTCTTTAATTAGAGTTTTCTTGTATAGTGGCAGAGATGTCTATTTCTGCTTTAAAAAGTGTAATGATGTACTTATTCATGCTAAACTTTTTATAAAAGTTTAGTTGTAAACTTAACCCTTTTATACAAAATAAATCAAGTGTGTTTATTGAATGGTGATTGCCTGCTTTATTTCAGAGGACCAGTGCTTTGATTTTTATTATGCTATGTTATAACTGAACCCAAATAAATACAAGTTCAAATTTATGTAGACTGTATAAGATTATAATAAAACATGTCTGAAGTCAGTACCTGAATTCCGAGTGGTTTTTAAGATCTCTCTGGCACTCACTCGCTCTTTTCTCTCTCTCTCCCTCGCACCCCGACACACATTTTCTTTATCCCCTTCTCCCTCATCTCCCCACCAGCATCCCCGAAGCCTTTACTTGTGTACAGAGAATCTCCTTATCAGATGTGTGGTAAGGCAGAGTGCTGAGTTGACAGGGACTGGGGAGGCTCTGAGCACAGAAATGCCTCTGAGTCCTGAAGGGAAAGCTTGGTTCTGTGCCTTAGGGCTGAGTTTAAAGCCAAGAATGAGTTGTGGTTGTGAGTCTGGGAGTGTGGAAGGACTACCTGTGTGAGTGGGCGTTAAGACGCTTCTCCGGAGTAAATGAAAGTTAATCAGGAGAAGGAAAGAGGCTGTACAGAATTCAGAACATGATTTCAGATTTAAGGGAAGGCAGAAACACCCGAGGGTTACTATTTGCCCAGGGAACTAAGCTGTCACCTGGCCCCAGGCTCCTGATGCCTCCTTGGCTTCGCCTTCGTCCACACCTTTAGCCCTCCCCGCCAACCCCACCCACCCCCAGGCCTCCGGAGACGGGGCTGGGCCAGACGCATTTTCCCGGACTTTTCAATCGCCCTCAGCCTTGACGGCCGCCCTGGACTGGAAGGAAGAGGCAGCGGACAGAAGCCCTTCCAAGCCAGAGACCGCGGGCGGCCACGTGCTCCGGACCGGTCTGCGTTTTCGGTCCCAGGGCGCGAGGTGGGCTGACAGGGCTCTGGAAGGCGGGTCCCAGGTGGACGCGAACCCGGGGAGGAAGGGGTCCGGGTGGGGCAGCAGCTCACCTGGGGCTCACCTGGGGCCGAGCAGGTGTTCGGGCGACGCCACCGAGGAATCCGCGCGTCTCCCCGCCCTGACCCCGATCGGCCCCCGCGGGCGCTGCCGCTGGAGGAGGGCGGGGGCTGTGGAGCCGCGGCCGCCTGGATCGCCCTGCGGACCCGCGCCGGGGACGGGGCTCTGCCGGGGCCAGCGCGGGGCCGTCGTGTGGTTGATCATCATACCTGGAGGGTGCTCTGAGGGCCGTGGGGGCGGCTCCCCGCCCCAGGCTACCCGGGGACCTGTCCCCCAGGTCCCCGCCACCTGTCGCCAGCCGCGGCCCTGGCCGACCCCTGCGCGGCGGGGAGGGAAGCGCGCGCTGGTCCCAACCCGACCCCGGCCTCGCCTCCGGGAGGGGCGCAGACGCCGGCCCCACGCTCGCCCCCCAGTCACAGGGACCCGCGCGTAGTCCGCTCGGACGGCCCTGGGGAGCGTCCCCGGACGGAAGCAGTGCGGGCGGGACCGTGGGGCGACCCGGGCCCTGCCGAGCCCCTGCCGGGCACGGCTGGCGACGTTGGCCCCGGGACCTCGGGTAGCCGCCGCCGAGGCGCAGCGGCCCCTCTCGGAGGCGACTTCCCGCGGCGCCCGACGCCCTACCCGTCTCCGGCCGTGGAGCCCGGGCGCCACCTGCTGGCCAGTGCGAGGACGGCGGCTCGCGCGTGCGGCCTGGTGGGCCTGGGGCCTGGGCACTGGGAACCGGAGGAGCAATCCGTGGGAGGAGGTCCCGGGAGAAAACGCCGGGGAGTGCGGCCTTTCCAAATGAGTGCTGCTCCAGCGTGTGTACAGCCGTTTCCACGTGTGGATCTCATGTCATCTTTACTACTGCATAGCATAGACAGGATCCCCTTTTGCAAATTAGTACCTGCTGCCAACCTCTAAGCTAGGTGCTGTCCCGGAGATTTTTTAAAAGATCAGACAGGATCCTGGTCTCTAAGAGACTATGCTTGGATTGTGGGGATAAATGAATTGTGAAGTCACATGAAAGTCAGAATGCTTTCCCTTCTCTTTCCTGGAGGTTTTGTTTAATTTTGTTTTAATTTTTCTGAACTGCTTAATAACTATTAACCAAGAACCCCAGTGTTAGTTAAAGCAGTGGGAGGTGGCAGTCGGCCTCCTTTTCTTATTCCAAATCCTAATGAGAATCGATCACATTTCCTCCATTCATTAGGATGTGGCTGTAGGCCTCTGTTGTAATAGATACTGTTTCTCAATTTTTGGAAGAGCCCTTCAATTGCTAGGCTTGTTGGAAGGAGTTTTTTTTTTTAGAATTTTAAATCATAATTTGTGAGTCAACTTGGTAAAATACTTTTGACTGCATTTACTGAGTATTTTTCTCTGGTGGATTACACTGATGTTTCTGATGCTGAACTAGCCATGCATTTCTGAAATAACTCCTACGTGAACATCATGTATCATTACTTTTTATATCCACCGTGGATTCTGTTAGCCAATATTTTATTTGAGATTTTTGAAAATGAAATGGAACTGTGATTTACTTTCTTGTATTGTCTGTAACTGGTTTTTGAATCAAGATCACACTAACCTCAAACAACAAATGTGCAGGTCAGTTTACATTTAATTTTAGCTTTCAAAACCATGGCTATATCCTTGAAGGTAGGCTAACATGTAGTCTGTCTATTTCAGAGGTGAGCAGTGAGTAGACAACAGCACGCAACCAGGCAGTGGACAGATGAACTCAGTCCAGCGCTTTTTCAGGAACATAAAAGGGACTTTCAAGTAGAGGGTGAAGATGTAGGACTCTAATAGAAAATAATATTCTTGTCAATAAGGAGCTGCTTTATAGAGTTTTTAAAATCCACAGCTAATAATTTATGTGGCTCTCTGCAGGGCAGGTGCAGAGCCATCCCAATCCCTTCAGAATGCTTTCCTTTCTCTTTCCTGGAGGTTTTGTTTAATTTTGTTTTAATTTTTCTTTAATTTTTGACATCCCACACATCCTTCCAATTTTTGATGCATTCTGCTACTGGAAAAGGGGCTTCAGATTTTGAGTATCTTTCTGGATGCTGATCCTGTCTAAGTGTTGGATGTTTTTCTATTTCATCGTAAAGATAATTTGAAGGCCAGAGGTGGTGGCTCACGCCTGTAATCCCAGCACTTTGGGAGGCCAAGGTGGGTGTATCACTTGAGCCCTGGAGTTCAAGACCAGCCTGGGAAACATGGCAAAAACCCGTCTCTACTAAAAATACAAAAGTTAATTGGGTGGGGTAGTGCACGCCTATAGTCCCAGCTACTCAGGAGGCTGAGGTGGGAGGATCTTTGAGCCCAGGAGGTCAAGCCTGCAGTGAGCCATGATTGTGCCACTGCACTGCAGCCTGAGTGACAGAGTGAGACCCTGTCTCAGAAAATTAATTAATTAAATTAAAGATAATTTGAGTCAGAGGCAGCATAAGTTGAGAAGCTCAACAACATGTGTTTTGTTTATTGCTGACTAAAGTAGGCACTGTGAGGAGCACCGCCTGAGCACCACACTGTGAGGAGCACCGCCTGAGACTGTAAGGCAGGAAGGAGATTTTCCAGAGGCCCTGAAGGAAGATGCAGTAGAAAGTGGGAAGAGCGTGCACACATTTGTGGCAGTCCTGAATGAGGGCACCAATCCCAGTAAACTAGGGCATTGGCCAAACAGGAATTACAGAAAAGTTTTTACAACCCTGTGAAGCAGGGCATTGAAACTGATACTACCACCCAGGACCCTGGAAGGCCTGAAATCTCAGTTATAGATTAGAAAAAAATAATACTCACTAGCTCAGGAAGATCATAAGGAAGCTTGTGTGTGAGCCTGAGCTCAAGAGGGAAATGAAAATCTCCTCTGAAAATTTTTACCCATAAACATGCCCTTATGGGCAATGGAGATTCAAATATGTACTACCCACTTGGTTTGAGAAATTTTGATGCTGAGAAATTAACACAAATGGGTTTCTGGCTGGTGATACCCCTAGAGTGCTTGGAAGTGGTACATGCAAAGCTTCTCTGGAGAGAAAATTTCTCAATACAGACTACACAGAATGCATTTCTGAAATAACTCCTTATTCTCACATTTTCATGGTTGGGTGAAAGGCAGTTTATAATTCAAATATTTTAAAAACACTGAAAACAATTTACCATGAGAGAATCAGTAGCTAAAATGAAGAGAAAGATTAGAAACAAAAGATCTAAAATGTCTATAAAGTAAGCACAACTAAGATGATTAAAGAAATTTAAAAATTAAGCAAGAACATAAAAAATCACAATATACAGTATTATATATAAACGAATGGGCAGATTTGAAAATGAACAACATCAAAGTGCTCGCATATGGTTATTGAAGTTGAAAACTCAATGGTGTATAAAACCCAGATTAAAAACTACTGGAGAGAGAATTAATGAACTGGAAGATGAACCTGAAGAAATTACACAGAATGAGCACAGAGAGATAAAGATAAGATAAATATGAACTCAAGGTAAGAGACAGAAAGGATAGAGAGAGAAACTCCAACAAGTATGGCAGACTGTACCAACTGGTTGTGGCAGTAGAAGGGAATCTGTCACAGTAAACATTCAAGCAACTTAAATGTTAGACATATCTTAAAGGCTGTTAGTCAAGCTAATATTCTGCACATATACATGTTTTGTTTTGTTTCAGACAGGGTCTCTGTCACCCAGGCTGGAGTGCAGTGGCATTGATCACAGCTCACTGAAGCCTCAACCTCCCTGGGCTCAGTTGACCCTCCCACCTCAGCCTCCTAAGTAGCTGGGACTACAAGTGTGCACCACCACGCCTGATTAACTTTTTCTTTCTTTTTTTTTTTTTTAGAGGCAGGGTCTCACCATGTTACCCAGGTGGTCTCAAACTCCTGGGCTCAAGCAATCCTCCTGCCTTGGCCTCCCAAAATGCCGGGATTACAGGTATAAGTCACTGCACCCAGCCCACATATACATGTTTTAAAAATTAAGACAAAAAAATCCAACACAATTAGAAATAGGAAAACAGTAGCAATAGAGTTCACAGATAAAGTAATCAACAGCCTATAAGCATTCAAAAAGATGGTCAATTTCACCCATAATAAGACAAATGCAAATGAAAAACTATATAACAATTCTCACCCAGCAAATGGGCAAAAATCCAAAAGTTTGGCAATATACCCTGTTGACAAGACTGTGGGGGAAACAATCTTGTATATTGTTGATGATAAAATACTCTGACCCCTGTGCAGAGGAATGTGGTGATATCTAGCAAAATTGCATATGCATTTACTCTTTAACTCAGCTTTCTCACTCCTAGAAATCTATCCCAAAATTACATTGCAAAAGTATGTAATACTATATGCACCAGGTTAATAGATTTGGCATTGTTTTTAATAGCAAGTGACTAGAAACAACCCCAATTTGGGACTGTTTGGGATACTAATACATGGTGAATACTAATACATAGTATACTAATACATGGTGAATACTAATACATAGTATACTAATACATGGTGAATACTAATACATAGTATACTAATACATGGTGAATACTAATACATAGTATACTAATACATGGTGAATACTAATACATAGTATACTAATACATGGTGAATACTAATACATAGTATACTAATACATGGTGACGTACTGTAAAGAGGAGATCTTTATATACTGATATGGGCTTTCCAGAACAAAGCATCAAATGAAGAATGCCTAATGCAGAACAGTGTATATGGTGTGCTAGCTTTTCTATGAGAAGGAAAGTGTAATAGTAACACACAGATTCATATTTGTTTATATTTTCAGAGAAATAAAGTGGAAGAAAAAACTAAAATAAATAAAAATGGTTATTGATGGGAGAGGCTAGAATAGAGTAGGGGAAGCAATGTTAGAAAGGGAGTATTGTATTAACTGTAGTATTTCTGGATGTACATTCCATGTCAATCTTTCATTTAATGGGTTTACTAAACTTTGACGATCATTGTCTAAATCAACTACTCCTTTAGTTATCACATTACAGTGAATACATTCGTCATTAGAAATTGCAACATGGTGGCCAGGTGTGGTGGCTCACGCCTGTAATCCTAACACTTTGGCAGGCTGAGGTGGATGGATTGCCTGAGCTCTGAGTTCAAGAGCAGCCTGGGCAACACGGTAAAACCCTGTCTCTAATAAAATACAAAAAAAAATTAGCCCCCAGGCATGGCGGTGTGAGCCTGTAATCGCAGCTACTCAGAAGGCTGAGACAGGGGAATCACTTGAACCCAGGAGGCAGAGGTTGCAGTGAGCTGAGATCGCACCATTGCACTCCCACCTGGGCAACAGAGAAAGACTCCATGACTTTCTAACTCTTTCAATTATGGTTCTCTGAAATCCAGCTCATACTGGAAAGTCAGGAGAATGCTTACTTATTTCTCTTTAATTCTCCATTTTTACAATTACATTGTATTAAATGTGGTATTTCTGAACGCATATTGTCATATGGTTTTGACTTTGAGATATGTAAGTGCTTTTTACAAATTAACTTTTACAAA